TCGATAACAGCAATGACTCCGCAACCCACCTAGTGACGATCCACAGAAACTGCCCTTTACATATTCCGGCTGTTCCCTCTTGTACTGCAGAGCAGCCACGAGCTGGAAAACGACAGGAGCCAGGAATCTCTCCAGCCGACCGGGACTGAGTCCCTGCACAGATTATAGCAAGAGAGCGAGGAGTCCAGTGTGTGCCCGCGTGTCCCGCTGAGACGGAAGAAAAGAATGGATCCCTCTGGGCAGAAACTGGGGTCAGAGTTTAATCCTGATATCCCTGGAAATCCCGAGAGCGGAGCCGAGCCAGGTAACTGAAGCCTGCTTCTGAGCTCCTAAATGGGGTCTCTAGTTTCATCATCTGTAAAGCCAAAAGGGACCACTCTGATCACCTGTTCTGACACACACCCCTGGGCCCCCACACCACACTGCTGCATAGCACAGGCCATTGACTCACCCACTGCCCCCTGCATCCAGCCCACGCCTGCTGGGAAGCTAGCGCTTGTTAAAAAACATGGAAACCTCTGGCTATGTACAGATGGGGCTCTGCCATTACCAAAGAGCAAGTGTAGGAGGTGTCTCACCTTTCAGTGCCTATGACTAACACCTGTGGGGGTAGGGGAAATTCCAGTGGCATCTGCTTTGCCTTAACCATGACTGTGGAAAATGCTGGTTAAGAACACGTGGGGAGACTGAAACTGTTCTCTCAGCCCTAGACGGCCTGGTGCCCTGGCTTTATTCCCCCTGGGTAAGCAGTTTGCCCGGATGCCAGGCCATCCAGTTCCCCCCAAATCAGGAGGTTGTTCAGGAGTGTGTGGGTGCACGTGGGGTTAGGGGCACGGGGAGAGCAGGGGCCCTGGTGTCAGATGTGAGACCTCACACACGCATCTACCCACCCCATTGCAAGCCTTAAGACGCTGGTCTGCCTCCAGCAAGCTACAGCTACATGCTCAGATGCTCATCAAACCCTCTTATCCCTTTTGACCCAAACGACTCGCCAAAAATGTGGCGTCTTGCAGTTACGAGGAGAAACGGACAGTGGGGTCTGGTCCCCTTTCATACAGTCTGGCTTATTTACAAAGTACAAAGTTGTGTTACTCCAAACACGGGAAGAGTCAAACGATGGGAGACAGTTTCCTTGCTCATAGTTCCCAGCCTCTTTCAGCCAGCACTGAGCCCAAAAGCGCCCTCTCAAGGTTCCTTCTCAGGGTCCCTCTGCCAGCGCTTCTGTGTCTGGCTTTCTGGCTGCCTGCTCCCTGCGCTTCTCTGGTGCTTTTTTTTTTTTTTTTTCCCCTCTGTCTTGTGCACACATACACATCTACTCACACACAATACCCAGGCAAGCCCCTCTCCTACATAGCTCAAACTCCTGAGTAGCCCACATGTGCCTCTGTGTTGGGATAGGGGTGCTCTGATTTCATAAAGGAGCTTAGCTGTAAGAAAGAATTATGGTAAAGGAAGGGTGGTGGTTACACCCAGCAGCTTCAACAACAACCACCTAGAACGTGATCAAGTCTCTTTGGGGGTCTGCTGAGCCTACTAAGGCTGCTTGTTAGTGATGGTTGTCACAGGACAAGCCAGACCAGTGTAGCCAAGGCGTTAGAAGAAGCCAGTCCCCAGGTGTCTGTCAGAGGCAGGTATGCCCCACCCAGGATGGGTTCACATGCAGCGTTTGGGGGTTGAACCCCTGTACCCTGTTATCGTTGCTGTCATTCCTCTTCTGGGGGCAGGTCACTCTGTAGCACGATGTCTCCAGGGTCAGCCTTGGTTTTTCCTTGTTGCTTTTCAATGAGACTTATTACAGTTGAAGACAATGTCCGTCACTCCCTGATATGTGGGACACTGCAGTGAAAAATGCCTCTGTCACATCTAGTCCACAGTCTCCCCTCACTATACAGCACCAGGGAACCTGCTCAGGTTTGTGGAGGGGTGTGTGCTGTGGGGATAGGGTTGGGTTATTTGTTGTTGTTGTTTTTCTGTTGGGGATTTTGTACCACACCCAGAGCCATGGTCCCTGATTGTTAGGATCTATGGTATAAATTAACAAAACAGGATGTTTTCACTGAGAGTAGGTGGGGAAATTGTCAGTTAAGCTGTTTTTTAAACTTAAATGACTGAAACGGTCATCATATTCCCCGCTTCACTAGCTCAAAGCTCGCAGGAGTCATGTTTTCCAGTGGAACACAGGCAGAGTTAGGTAAACAGGGGAGGTGGCGAGGAGACTAACGTGTGTATTTTAGGGCTGAGCTGCATGGGAGATTTATACAGGGTATAACTTCCCATGTGGACATTCTTATTCTGCAGTAAGTCTGGCTTTTTTGGTTTAGCTTGAACCCCTTCCAAAGCAATGTTAGCTGACCTAAAGGCCACTCATATACTGGAATAAGAGCCTCCCCATGGGAGGCTGAACAGGTATAACTATTGGTTTAAATTCCCACCTTGGCTTATACTGGGATCGCTTTCCCATACAGACAACCCTTTATATTCCAGTGGATGGCAACCGGTGGTCTGAAGTTTGTGGCTGTCTCCTTGGCTAGGAAGAGCTGAAAAAAGCTGGTTTGGAGGAGACTTCTGGGCATCAGACAAAATCTGCCCTCTGCTCTTCTAGTTGGCTTTAGCTGAGATGGCTTTAGATGAGCAGGCAAAGACCAGAGCCAGCTAAGGGATGATTTGAAGCACCATGAAGGGGCCTGATGCTCTTTAGAACTAGAATTTGGGAAGGAAATAAAAGGAACCTAAGACAATTGCCGAGGGAGGTTGTGGAATCTCTGTCGTTGGAGGATTTTAAGAGCAGGTTAGACACACGCCTGTCAGGGATGGTCTAGATAAGACTTAGTCCTGCCATGAGTGCAGGGGGCTGGACTAGATGACCTCTCGAGGTCCCGTCCAGTCCTACGATTCTATGAAAAGAGACTGACACAGCAAATCACAAAAAAGTAAAGCCTGGCACCGCCCCTCTGGGCCCTTTGTGACTTGTACTCTCAGCCCACGCCCAGTCACTGGACTTTGGCAGAGTTTTCCAGGATCTTTTAGCCCAACCATCTTAACTCGAAAACTCAACCATCTCGGGGAGCCTGAAATATGTCAACAGCCTTTCAGTTTTCCCAGCATGCTTAGCGGGACTTAAGCTAAGTGTCTTCAAGCCTCTCCCCAAAATTCCAAGCTAACAGACCGTGCTCCAGAGGCCTCAAATCCATTGGGGTCTTTTTCACTGTCTCCTGGAGGCAGGAGCCTCTGAAACAGAGGACGCCCATGATGATAATCCCCAGGTCTGACAGCCCTTGTCATCAGGAGATCTCAGAGCACTTTACCAAGGGAAGCCAGTATCGCTCTCCCTGTGTTAGGGAGGGAAACTGAGCCCCAGAGAGGGGATGTGACTTGCGCAAAGTCAGGCAGTAGCAGAGTTGAGAACAGAACCCAGGCCCCAGTATCCCAGGGAAGTGAGCTGACTTAAGCAGGTTGTCCCTAGTGAAGCAGTGGGGATAGGTGGGTGTAGGACCCTACCCCCAGCTTAAGGGGAGAAGCCACTGAACCCAGGCTTTCAGCTGGTCACTGTGGGGACAACAAATGAAAAAACAGGGATGGGAGTGAGGGTCACAGATTCAAAATCCGGGATTCAGAGAGGGACACCGAGAAAAGAACCCAGGACAGCGCCCATCGCACCTCACTGGTGTCCTGGGAGCCATTGGACACGGCGCAGAGGAACTCTGCCCAGAGACGTGACTTCAGGAGGGAACAGGTTGCAGGTGGAGCGATGTGCTGAGATTCCCTTCTCCATTTCCCTCGCTCTCTCTGACTGCTTTTTTCCTGCTCCATCCACCCACCCCAAATTCCATGCTGTCCTCTGCAGACCCCTCCAGCAGAGCAAACATCTGTATGCACCTTAGCAGGGCTGCAGAAGTGGGGTGCAGGGTCTGGAAAGGGCTAGTGGGGGGCAGCCAAGCAGGGAGGTGCCCTGAATTTCACTTGTCTAGCAGATGAAGCCAAAACCGACCTTTAACCATCTCACTGTTAAGTTGGGATCTGGGGTTTTTTTACAAATTTTTGGGTTTTTTTAAGTTTCTAACTCGTGACAGTCGCTAAATAAAACTAACTTGAATTATGTGAACAGTAGTTTAAGAGGGGAGAGTAGGGGAATTTATCACCCGCCCACTGATTGCAAATGTACTGTAAGTGCCCTGTTTTGATTTACCTTAAATCGGTGTTTGGGTTTTTTAATTGGGTTTTTTGAAGTGATTCATTTGCTAAATCAAAAGAGGACACAACGCTTAACATCTCAACTAGGATTGTCACTGCCCAGACTTGCCAGAGAGCCAACACAACACGAGGGGTGGGTGCAAGTTTGTGTTGACCAGTCCCCAACTCTGCAAATGTCTAAGCTTCTGTTTAAGGGACTGTCCATACTGCAGCCAGGGGCGTGTTTGCAGACCTGAGCTAGCTTTCATTTAGTGAGTGGCACTAAAAACAGCAGCGGAGCAGTGGCCCAGCTTTCAGCATGGGCGGTGTGAGCCCCTCTGACCCCCCCCCTCCCCCCGTATGTACCTGCCTTCCTAGCTCACACCAAAGCCTGCACTGACGCTGCTCGCTGCTAGATTTTGGCGACACTCGCTAAATCCGGCACGTCCACCCGAGCTGCAGTCACACCTGCCGACTGCAGTGTAGACGTCACCTGGTCCCCTCCACGCCAAGGTCTGGCTGACGCTGGAGGAGGGTGAATGAGCAGCGGGAGGGATCGAGGGCAGGGAGGATGCAGCGGTGGGTGGGGGAAGGGGTCATCAGCCAGAGGATCAGCAGTGGTTCGGAAGGGAAGGTGTCAGCTGTGGGTGGAAGAGATGTGTGTGTTGGGGGGGGCGGGAAGCAGCAGCGGTGGGAAGGGAGGGGAGGAAGCAGCGGGGTGGGACAGGAAGCCAGTAGCAAGGGGGGAGGGTGTATGGGAGGGGAAGGGGCCAGCAATGGATGGGGTGGGGACGATGCAGACTGGAAACCCCTGAGCAGCGTGACTGGTGCATAAAGCGATCACAGGATGTCACACGGATGCCCACGCCCTACAGGAGTGTTGGAGCAGTTCCTTGCTTGTGACTCAATGTTTCTAGCATCTCGGTCCCTGTGTAGATGTCGGTGCAGACGGCTGTTAGCTGCGGCTCTGGGGTTGTGACACTCGGACGGCCTGGGAAAGCGGGGAAGGGAGCTGAGATACAGCAGCCCCTTGATCGCCATAGAGAGCCAGGCAGCGAAGGGGAACCGGCTCGCTGGAGCGTCCCTGGCTGGAGAGAGGCTGCGGCTTGCACAGGTGGGGTTCTATTTTCAGCGTTGGCTGTAAACGGCCACGCGCTTTGGGGCAGCGAGGAGCTGATCACAGTTATGAGCAGGGCAGCCGGTTTGCACTCGCAGCTGCTATATCCTGTGTGTGCATCTGGGATCAAGGCCGTGTCCTGGGGGGTGGGGGGACTTGGCAATAGCCCCTTTATTTCCTTTATTTATGTCTCCCTTTATTCTCCTGCCTTCCTGATCCTCTTCCTTCTGTTGTTGAGGGCGAGATTTTCACAGGTGCATCCACCCCAGTGGGCTCCTACAGGCCTGAACAACCAGCTGGGATTCTGACTGGGGGGAGTGTGGTGGGGAGGGGCGGAGCAGATATATCCTGCGGGGCCTCATCTTGCACCCCCATTTGAAGATCGGCCCTGTCTCTCTCCCTTCACCGCCTCATGTTCCTTTTTCCTGCTGTTCTTTGGGGCCAGTTTTTCCCCGTCCGTTTGTGTGGACACAGGCGGTCCTGCCGCATGTTTCCTGTTCCCGTGTGTTACAAACCCCCCTGTGTGAACCCCACCGTCCTGCACAGCTGCTGGGACTGCAACTCCCTCAGCTCATTGTGCACACCTGACTCTCTGTAGCTGTGAGTCACATTGATTGGGGGCAGGATTTTTTCCCATTCACCCCAGCGCTGACTGTTGAGGGAAGGGTGGCCTAGTGGTTTGAGGGCTAGGCCAGGCATTGGAAGACCTGGGTTTGATTCCCTGTGTGACCTTGGGCAAGTGTTAGTCTCTCTCTGCCTCAGTTTCCTGTCTTTACAATGGTCAGAACAGTAATTCCCACTCTCACAAGGCAGCTGTGTGGATAAATTCATTAACAGACTGTGAGGTGTTCACATGTTGTGGACGGAGGGGCCAAAGAAGACCTTACCTAGATAAGGCAGGAGATTTTTTATGTTGGGGGCTGATCTAGTTCCCCCAGACCCCGAGGACTCCTCTCCCCCAGGGGCTGCCTGGGTTCTTTCCGTCCATATCTGAGATCATCATGAATCGTCAGTGAGCAAAGATTCAAAACTCCTTCAGAGGAAATGCGTAAAGCTGGTGGGAACATTTTCCATCAAAATATGTAGCTTCATTGAAGCTAAAATGTTTTGCATAGTTGTATCAATTTTGATGGGAAGGTTTCTGAGGTCCACAGTGCTCTGATCACTTCTGAAGAGAGAGGAGCATATGTCTACACTGCGGGAAAAGGTGTGTTCTTAACTGGGGTAGGTAACCCACATTAGCTCACTTGGGTGAAAATAGCAGTAAAGACATGGCAACTCGGGCTAGCAGCTCACATTAAAGCCTGAAATGGAGCCTGGGGTTGAACTTGGGGGGCTAACCCCAGTTGCTTTAAAGGTCTTTGCTGCCATTTTAACCCGAGTTAGCTCATACAGGGTAGCCAACCCCACTTCAGAACATCCCTTTTTCTTTGCAATGTGGACGTACACAGAAAAAGGCACTTTTGAAAAATTTGTGGTTTGAACTAAAACATATGAAAACTATTTTCCAAAGTGAGAAAACTATCACAAAAAGGAATTGGCATCAGCTGGCCAGCCTGGAATGAGTTTCTTGTGTGAAGAAAGAAACTCTCAGCTGTCTCTGGAGCAGCCCAGCCTCTTAGGCACAGCTAGGCATGCAGACTTAGTGTCTGGGAGAGGGCACAGGCTGGGCAGGGGCACAGACTGCCAAGTGAGGGTGAGTCCCACACTCCTGTCCCTTCTCCCACGTTCGCTTGGAGCCAGTCGCCCTTGGGACATTCTGCATGCCAGCGCTGGGAGAGTCCGGGAAGGAGCAGGGAGTGGAATTAAACAGCCCCGTTCATCATGTGGCACAGGCCGGGCAGCTGGGCTAAGTAAGCCGCCATCTGGGCAGTCATCCCTCATGCAGCCAATGAAACTGTTGCACGCAAACCGCATATAGAGTAAGGACGGCGATTGGTTGAGTCACCTCTGACATCACGATGGTCGAGGCCAGCGGTTCATTCGGGATGGTTATTTTTTACGGCCGGGAGCGCTCTCCCCCGGCGATAAAGCGACACTGCACTGCCCACGTCACAGCGCTGCCGTGGCCGTGCCCTAACGTGGGCCCTGAGGCCCCCCCAACATGCTATAAAAACTCCACGGCCCACCAGTGCCACGACAACTGCTTTAGAAGGTAGCAAGCAGGGCGGCTGCCTGGGGCCCCAAACCACAGGGGTCCCCAAGACTAAGTTGCTCAGGTTTCCGCTTCAGCCCCCGGTGGGAGGCTCAGGGCCCCGGGCTTCAGCCCTGCACAGCGGCGCTTGGGCTTTCGTCCCTGGGTCCCAGCAAGATTAACACTGGCCGTGCTCGGCGGACCCCGGAAACCTGCTTGCGGCCCCCAGGGGGCCCCGTATCCCTGGTCGAGAACCGCTGGTCTAGGCTCTGGGCATGGCATAGATATATCCCTTACTGTCGCTGTACACTGCACAGTGTAATCTGTAAAGTCTAAATGGCTGAGAGCTTAAAAAGTGGGCGGTAGGAGGCCGGGGATGTCAGTGGTGAACGAACCTGGTGATATTCCAAACAAAAAGAGCTTTCGGCCATATTAGTAGCTACCTCCATGGCTTCCCAGTAACTCTGCAGACATCGTAGGCTCCAGAGTGACACACACAGACAGACTGACACTCCTGGGCTCCTATTCCATCGATCGCTAACGGCAGCCGTTCAGCGCAATGCTCCTTGCCCCAACGCAGCTCAGACCCTGGTGCCGCTACTGACTCCGGGTAAACCCGCTCTCAGGAGGATTAAGGGCTTTTTCTCTTTCAGGTGATGGCCGAAGCTGCAGGCTCGGGACGTGTACAGTCGCAGTGAGCGTTGTACTTGTCATTCTGATTGCTGCTTTTGTTGCTGTGGCAGGTGAGTGGCTAATCCCGGGGTCTGCGTGTTCCATTTACATCGAGCCGGCCACGCCACTCAGGGCTGTGAAAAATTCCATGCCCGGACCACCACGGTTAGATCAACCCACCCCCCGGTGTAGACACGGCTGGATCAACAGAAGGGTCCTTCCATCGGCCTAGCTACCGCCTCTCGGAGAGGTGGGTTAACGACCGCGATGGGGAAAACCCTTCTGTTGATGTAGGACGTTTCTACGCTCCGGCACGACCATGGCACGGCTGCGGCCTCCTAGCAGTGCCGTTGTCGTGCAGACGTACCCAGCGTCACAGGCTGTCTCCTCTCGGGCATCAGCCGCGGGGGCCAGGAACGCATCCTCAGACTCTCCTTCCTTCCTGATCCCTTCTGGAGCCTTGTTTGTGACGACAAAACTGGCCCTTTACGCTGTCTTCCTGGGGAAGTGTGTATCTTTGTAACGAAAGGGAAAAACATCAGTTCCTGAGATAATACAAACAGGAAAGGAACTTCTCCTCCAAAGAGCCTACCGTGTCGGGGATGTCTGCCCTACGGAGACTACACTGGCATAGCTGTGTCGCTCTGGCTATGCCGGCATAACACCATAGTACAGACCCAGCCTACGCTGACAAAGATTTTCCCTCGGTGTTGGAACACCACCTCCCTGAGCAATGGTACCCAGCCGAGCATGGGACAAACCACAGGTCATGCCCCAAAAATCATGAGATCGGCTTAGAAATTATGTGACTTTAAAAAATAAATTTGGGTTTCGACATCTGCACTGCAGTTTATAGCCCTGCAGGCCGAGCCCCATGAGCCCAAGTCAGCTGACGTGGGCCAGCCGCAGGTGTTTTATTGCAGTGTAGATGTACCCTAAACTGCAGCTCCCAGAGTATGTCTACATTGCACTGACAAGGAACAGCGACAACTAAAGGCCTGTTACATTGATTCCAGGTTTGACCTGGACTCTAGAAACTCCTCTGTACTTATAGTGTCACCTAGTGGCTGGTTAGAGTAATCCCAGAGGTGAATAAGACAGATCTCATGACCTTTAATATTGCCTCACCATCACCAGTACGGATAGAGGATTATGTTCTCACCAATGTAGAAACATTCACGTACTTGGGCAGCACCATCAGCCAGGACAGTGGAACAAGCCAGGACATCTGGAACAAAATCAATAAAGCCAGGAACACCTTTAGGAGCTTAAATAAGGTCTGGAAACAACACCAAAACCAAACTCAAGATTTATCAGTGCTGCGTGCTTTCAACACTACTTTATAGTGCAGAAAGCTGGGGAATGAGAAAGTATGACATGCCCAGACTGTCTTCATTCCATACGACCTGCCTCCGAAAAATCCTCCATATCTTTTGGCCCAGAACAATCTCAAACCAAGGTCTATTGACACGGTGCAGCCAAGAGGATCTGAGCAGCATCATTGCCAGGAGGTGTTGGAGATGGATCGGTCATGTGCTTTGGATGGAAACTGATTCCATCACCAGAGTAGCAATAAGATGGACACCTGAAGCAAGCGAAAACGAGGCCACCCGAAAACAACATGGCAAAGAGCTGTGGAAGCCAAGCTAAAAAACCTGGGGCACAGCTGGGGAACCATTGAAAGACTTGCCAGAAACAGACAGGCATGGAAGAGCTTTGTCACGGCCCTAAATGCCAGAGGCGTAATAGGAACATGATGATGATGAACTCCCAAAGCTGATTTCGGTACAGAAAGGTGGTAGGTGCGTGTCTCATTTCTAGCCTGCAGGGGGCAGTGGGCCAGGCTCAGCTTTCCTGTTTAACAGTGGGCGTTTGACTGTGATGTGGGATTTTGGTTTCTGACTGCCGTATTCCCCAGATTTCCTTTTCTACCTCCCCACTCTCAGGGTAGCGGCCAGATTTTTCAGGACTGTGGACCCCAGATAGGGTGACCAGACAGCAAATGTGAAAAATTGGGACGGGGGTGGGGGGTAATAGGAGCCTATATAAGAAAAAGACCCCAAAATCAGGACTCTTCCTATAAAATCGGGATATCTGGTCACCCTAACCCCAGATGAATTCATCACACAACGCTGCCCTGTTCTTTGCACACTGAATGAGGCAGGGGTCCTGTGGAAAAACATAACAGGTGACCACATATAGTATCATAACTAGGGCCCTGTCAAATTCACGGTAGTGAAAAACCTGTCACAGACTGTGAAGTCTGGTCTTTTGTGTATTTTTACCCTTTGCTATAAAAGTACCCTATACTATATGGTAAAAGTACACAGAAGTACACAGCGTTTCTCAAACTGGGGGTCCCACCCCCAAAGGGGATTGCAAGGCTATTGTAGGGGGGGTCACGGAATTGCCATCCTTACTTCTGTGCTGCTGCTGGCGGCATCGCTGCCTTCAGAGCTCGGCACCCGGGCACCCGCCTCTGCACTCCGGCCACCCAGCTCTGAAGGCGGAGCAGAAGTAAGGGTGGCAATACCATAATCTCCCTACAATAGCCTTGTGCCCCCCTTTTGGGTCAGGACCCCCAGTTTGTGAAACACTGAGTCTTACGGGCTTTACGTGTTCATATTTTGCCATTTTTAAATACATATTCATGTTTTGTTGCAACACCGTGAAACGTAAGTTTTAAATATCTGAAACCGTGAAATTCAAGATTTTTAAAACGCTGTGACCATGAAATTTAGGAAGATGAACGGTGAATTTGGTAGGGCCCTAGTCATAACTGATACACATAAAAAGGAAGCAGCAGGGAAACCTTTGGAGCCTTTCCTCATTTCCATCTTGTGGGTATTTGCATCTGGGGGAGGGAAAGGATGAGCTCTTACCCTTATGTCGCTCTCTCAATTTCAGTGCTGGTACTTAAAGCAGAGCCCCAATTCATGGCCTGCTGCCCGGACGGCTGGATCGGATACCAAGGGAAATGCTACTATTTCTCCGAGGCTGAAGAGAACTGGAACAACAGCCAGAGACGCTGCTCTGCGCTCGGCGCTTCCCTGGCTCTGATTGACAGCGAGCAGGACCTGGTGAGAAGAAAAACAGACCCATTCTGGGGGCAATAGGCTATGCTAGAGTTATGGTCAAGGTCTTCAAGGTGCTCCGGGGCCTGGGCCCAGGGTGTCTAAAAGAGCGTAAGGCTCCAGGATGAAGACCTTGGTTGACAGCTCTGCTCCTCTGGCACCATTTAAGGGCAAAACTTCTCAGTGAGGGAGATGGAGCTTCCTTGGTGGCTGGTCCTAGTTTGCGGAATGGACTCCCCCAGGAACTAAGGATCCTCCAGAACCTCACCACCTTCTGCTCCGAGAGCGAGGTGCACTTTGTGCTGTCTTCTTGGATATCACTGTAACCCACTGGTGAGTGTGTCACTGGTTACACTCTGCTCGTCCACAGAGGATCTGTGCTGACTGGAGAGGGTTGCCTCGTTAACTCCAGGGGGCGTGACTTGGGCTTTTTCTCTATGGGGGTTCCCAGTGTGTCAGCCAAGATGGCCGCCTTCACATAAACACGTAGCGTGTACACTTCAAATAACAAAACCCTACCAAAACAAACTGCTCCCCACACACACACCAATTCTCCCCCTTGGGAGAGAGAACGAATCACATGTAACTTGTTAATCGTGTCACTTAATTCATGAGTGGAAGATGCTGAACTACAAGGGGGATGGGGTAAGACCCCACGTAGAATAGTGCAGGCACACGGGATGATGCATATTGTTAAAATTGCCTAAGCCACTGGTCCCCAAACTGTGGGGTGTGGCCTCCCCTAGGGAGGTGCGGAGGAATGTGTGTGGGGGGTGTATGGTGGGGCCTGAGCCAGACCCCATGGGGGGCCGGGAGGAAGCCCCAGCCGAGGTCTGGCCCCAGCCGCAGGGCCGCCCCGCCCCTCAGCTGCAGCCCCACCCCTCAGCCGCAGGGCCACCCCATCCCCAGTCCAGCTCCGCCTCCCAGCCACAGCTCCGCCCACCCCGCCTCCAGCTCCAGCCACAGCTCTGTCCCAGCTCCAGCCTCAGCCTAGCTCCGCCCTCATTCCCTCTCCTCCCCCAGGCCAGTTTTGGCCCCAGCTGCAGCTCTGCCCCGCCCCCAGCTCCTCCCCATCCCCAGCTCCGCGTTCAGCTCAAGCTCCCCTTCTAACAGATTCCGTCACTGGTACGTGGGGACACGACAGGAAACATCTGAGCACCACTGGTCTAAGCATTTCCATTTTTTCAGTTGCTTATAACTGTGCCCCGGGTTTTCCTTTTGTGTTCTTTGGGGCGGGGCAGGGCAGGGCAGGGGTTCTCTGAACTTTACTCTCTCGAGGGGAGGTTTTTTCCTGAAAGTTTCAGCAAATCCACTTGATTATTTTTCTCGGGGTCGCACCTAGGAACTCCAGCCCACAATTTTTCAGTGAATTTACGAGTCACCAAAAACTTGCCCAGCTCTAACTGGAAGTAAGTCAAAGTTCCCAAGTGCCACCGTAACTCTGGTTTTCCTTCTCCTTCTTTTTGGTGTGGATCAGTTATGATCCAGTCTTTAGTTATGTGATTCCCCTGCTGTGTTTTCCCATGGGACCCCTGCCTCATTCAGCAGGCAAAGAATGAGGCAGGGTTGTGTGATGAATTCCTCTGGGATCCGCAGCTTCTTGCCACGTTCACTGCACCAGTTGTACGAGGTGCCGTGACTGAGGCAGGGCTGAAGGGATGGGCTTGAGGTTAAGCCACTAAAGTGAAACCCAGGAGTTCTAGTTTCAGTTCCAGACTTTGCTTTAACTAACTTGGGAAATTTTCTGTATAACGTGACTCTGTGCTGCCCGGAGCCCTGTGAGCAGCGCACATGGAATCCAACTCTTTCCTTTTTCTCTGTTACAGGCTCTCATGATGAGATACAAAGGTGTCTCCGAGCACTGGATTGGCCTCTGGAGAGAGCAGGAGGGGCAGCGCTGGAAATGGGTGAATGGCTCTGATCTCAACAGCTCGTGAGTCCTTTTTCTATCTGTTCAGGTTCTGAACACTAGGTTGTGAGGCTGAATTCAGACGGAGCCAACATTCACCATGTAAACCTCAACAATCTCCCCCTTTATGGGCTGGGCTCCCCAACGGGACTACAACTCCCATGGTGCAGCATGGCCAAGGGATTCCATGATGCACCACCTCCCCTCACCAGTAGAGATCGGGGGCACCATGGGAGATGTAGTTTGGACTTGGAGCTCGGCCTATAGAGAAGAATGGGAGTCTGAGGCTGTTGCACTGCATCTCCCATGATGTATTGACTCCTCTTGACCAGTAGTGTGACCATGGTGCACCCTGGGAGAGGTAGTCCGAACGGGGAACCTGGCCTATAGAAGAAAAGGGGAGCACGAGGCACCTGAACTACAGCTCCCATGAGGCACCACGGCAGCCTTTCCAAATTGAAATATTTTAAGTTGTGATTATTTTTTTTTTTGGTCAAACTTGTCCGGGCCGAATCCACCCACCTCATTTCCTCCCACTCAGACTCCAGTCCCTGGAGAGCTGCAGGCCCGATGCCTTTGGAGAGTCTAGAGGGAGTCGGAGGCTGAAGGAAAGGGGTGATACCTGGTCCGGGGCTGTACGTTTGACACCCGTATCTTAGACTGAGACAACGTTAAAAAGAGGGAGCAGAGTTTGCATGTGCGTCAGGATGACTGAACACAAAAGCGGCCACCTGTCTCCACAGACTGCAGAGTCCTGTGAGATTCAAGGGAAAGCAAAAGGCACCACAGTGAGTCAGTTCCACCACAGCTAACAGACCTCACGGTTTGAGTTACCCACATGGCGGCGACCGTCCATACGAAAGGGGCTGCAGAGAAACCCTCCTGAGTGGAGACTGATTCCCATGCTCACAGCCACACGGGGCCACCTTTAGGAATTGGGTTGCTCATTGCAGCCCAGCTAGGCCAGGTCCTCCATGAGCCTGTCACATACCCAGGAGCACAGGAAGTCCCAGGCTGGTTCTGACCAAAGGTCCATTTGGCCCCATCTCCTGTCTCTGACAGTGGCCAACGCAGGCTGCCTCAGAGGAAGGTGTATGATCTAGAGCTGTCGGAATGAGCGATATTGCTGTTCGCTGGCTGAACTGAAAATTGGGAGCAGAAGAACCTGCATCAACCAGAAACTAAACATTTTCAGTTTTCTGGGCAAAACAAAGCGCCAAAGATTTTACTTTCACGTCAAATGAAATTTCTTTTGTTCAACCCGAAATGAAATGTTTCCTTTCAGTTTCAGGCATTTTTAAACTGCCTTTTTTTTTTTTTTTTTTTTAAATTAAAAGCAAAGGAAATTTGGAAGCACCAGGCACAAACCCAATGGTAGTGTCTGTCCTCCATCCCCCGTACTCCCTAGTCCCTGGTTAGGGCACTCCACCTGGGTCTTCTGTATCCCAGATCAAGTCCTTGCCCTGTCTGATTCGAAGTAGGGACTTGAACCTGCGCTATTCTCATCCTGGATAAGCAGGCTAATGACCTGGTGGCTATCGGGTTTACCACCCCGTCTTTCTCCAGTTTTGTGAAGGGCACCCAAGTCCCCTTGTCAATTTAGCCTGAAGAAAAAATTAATTTAGGGCCAAATGTTTCAGGAGACCTAAAATTCCATTTTTCGGTGAATAAATTCTTCATCTGAAAAACGTTACCTGGCTCTAGCTAGAAAACCCTTCCCACACACACTTGCAAGAGTAGATGTGGGCTCATTTGGCCCCCCTCACACATTGGGGAGAGCTACAGTGGTCCAGGCTGCAGGTGTTAGCTCAGCAGTTCCCAAACTGGGGGTCGTGCCGTCAGCAGATGGGGGGGGTGGTGACCCCTAGTGTGCGGAGGGTGCCACTTTGCTCCACACGGCGACCCCTCGCATGTACAGTTCCTGCGAGGGCACGGTGCATGGAGGACGCCATTTTGCTCTGCAAAGTAGCATCCTCCACACCGCATGACCTAGGCATGAGCTCGCGCTGTGGGGCGGATGCCATTTTGTAGAGCAAAATGGCGTCCTCCGTGCGGCGTGACTTTGCACAGGAGACCACGCTGTGCCATAGGTGCCGACTTACTCAGATCCCGGGGGGTGCTCGACCATCCGCCCCGTTCTGCCCCAGGCCCTGCCCCCACTCCTCCCCTGCCTCCCCCCATGCCTCTTCCTGCCCCTGCTCAGTCCCAGGCGCTGCCCCCGCTCACCCCTTCCCCCAAACCCTCAGCCCAGCCCCTCCCCTGCCTCTTCCTGCGGCTGTTCCTCCCCCTCCCCGTCATGCATCCTGCACGCCGCTGAGCAGCTGATCCGCGGTGGGTGGGAGGCACTGGAGCTGATCCCCGGGGCCACCAGCAGGCAGGAGGCGCTGCAGGGGAGGTGCTGATCCGCAGGTGGCTGGTGGGTGCTGAGCACCCACGATTTTTTTTTCCCCATGGGTGCTCCAGCCCCGGAGCACCCACTGAGTCAGCGCGTATGCGCTGTGTGGAGGACGCCATTTTGCACTACAAAATGGCGTCCTCCATGCTGCCTGGGAGGAAATAATTCATTAACATGGGGTCATGCAGGCAAATGCATCAGGCACATTCTCCCGCTGGCAGTAACAGGACAGGCCCATCTGCTGGCTGACGACGGCTTCGTTCTCTCTCGTTGCAGGCTCCCGATAAGAGGAGGCGGTGACTGCGCGTACCTGAACGACAAGAACGTCAGCTCTTCCAGGTGCATCACCGAGAGAAACTGGGTCTGCAGCAAACCTGATGCGTTTACAAGCCAGAAAAACGCAATACAGAGCAGTCAGGAGCTGAAAAACCTCCCGACGAGCTATTAGAAAAACTCGCACAACCGGTCTACAGCCGAGCTTATAAACATAAAATAGCAAAATCTCCAGTGGACCCTGAATTATTAGGTTAATCAAACTGAAAAACAGGAGGAACTTCAGCAGGATCTAGCCACGTGAGGGGAACGGGCCACCCACTGGCAAATGAAATAGTCTGACAAATACAGATAGGGTCCAGCAGAGGAACAATTGAGGATTACTCATCCATCTTCCTAGCTGCTAAAATAACTACAACAGCTCAGGAGAAGGAGCAGGGGTGAACTGCTGACCCCATTGAAATTTATGCGCATTTTCCCATTCAATTCAAGGAGGCCAGCATCTCACCCAGGGGTGTCATTGGAGATCGCCCAGCGCAGCCCTCGGCTGAGCGTGCAGCAGCTGACAACAAAGCAAACAAGATGTTGGGGGCACATAAGGAACGCACTAGGTGACAATACAGAAAATTCTCTGATGTCATTATATGAATCAAAGGGACACCCTGATGAGGAACACTGTCTGCAGTACGGGTCACCCATCTCCAAAAGGACGCTGCAGAACTAGAGGAGGTTCAGAGACTGGTGACAAGAATGATGGGAGGCCACGTGGGACTTTCGTGTGCCGAGATTGGAGCTGTTCTTGTCAGAGAATAAGGGGACGTGAACAAGGGGAGAAAAACAAAGACTGGGCCGGGGAAGGTAGATTGGGGTGCTGCTATTCAGTCCATCTCTTGATACAAGAACAATGGGGACGCTTAACAAAATTGAAAAATCACCAAATTTGAAACTGATCGAAGGACCTATGTTTTCCCACAACGCACAATTAGCCTGCGGAACTCACTGCTGCAAGATGTCATTGAAGCCAAGAGCTTGGCAGGACTGTTTTTAAAAATGGACTGGGTCATTAGCTCCTGTTCTTCATACGAGAGAGGAAATGGACAGGAGTTTGGGAAGGGATCCAAACCTTCTTTCTTCAGGGCATGAACCACCATCTAAGTAATGAAGATCAGGAGCAAACTTCTCCATTTGGCCGGTTATTCCATCACTGTCCACTAGGATTTCTCTTGACCTGTCTTCTGAAGCCGCTGGTGCGGGCCATGAATGCACTACAGTTCTGAATTAGTCTTGCACTTACTATGTTAATTGCCTCGACCCTGTGACCTTAATAACCGATGGTTTTTTTCCTGAGCCAAAGACTAGTCATGGTGCTTTTAGATATGAATTCAGCGTTAGTTTTGCTTCCTGGGGCAGGACCCCTGGGCGGTGTGGATTTTTGCCGAGCAGTGCGGCTGGATAGCAGCAGATCTTCCGGATGTCCTGAACCAAGCTTCCAGCCCTGGGGCTCCTTTTCAATAGAGCATTTTCCCTGCTGGAGCTGCCCAGTGCTTGGGAAGGAGCTCCTAAGCTCCATGGTGGATTATGCAAGATGGAATTGCTTCGTTTGATCTCATTTAACTTATTTATTATTAGGGTGACAGTTCTGAATAGCTGATAGACGGTTTGGAAAACAGGGTTGGTTTCACTGAATCTCCTGACTCCAAATTTATTGGGGGAAAAATATTTTGAAATTTTCAAAACAAAATGTTTTGACGCATTCAAACCAGAATGTTTTGGGGCTTTAGAGCCGAAACGACGCTTTCTTTTGACATGTTTAGGAATTTTAACTGTGGGGAAAAAAAGTTACAATGGAAACATTTTGAACTTATCGAAACCAGCGGTTTCAATGGACCCAGAATGAATTTTTGGTTTAGTTTATTGACTCTTGACAATTTTCTAGAGTTTGACTCTTCACCTTGATTTGGGATGGGAGAAAATGTTGAAATCTCCCAAATTCTCATGCCTGGGAAAGGAGTTTCCCACCTAGCTTCACTCCAAAGCCACACAGATGCTTTTGAAAATTACATCCTCTGGGCCCACTTGTGTAGAACGAGGCATCTCCAAGCTCTGCCTATATACCAGTGTTGGCAACTCCTGCAATTTATGGCACTGTATTCGTTGCTTTTTGGCAACGCCTGGTACTTGGAATGAGCTGATCTGAGAACCTCAGCTTTCTGCTGTTATTTTTTTAAGAAAGTTTTTAGCCCACAGTATCATGGCGAAAAGCTTAAAATTGTGACTCGAGTTCTTCCTAGAGACTCACAAACCAGAAGGCAACGAAAAAGAACCCAAAATTTTTAAAGCAAATTTCATTTTTCATTATTTTTGTACATCTGGAGTTGGCGGTAGTGGGTCTCAGGCTGTCAGAGACTTGTAGATTCCAAGACCAGAAGGGATCTCTGTGAAAATCTCAGATGACCTGTGTAACACAAGCCGTACGACTGCCCTGAATTAATTCCTGTTCGAACTAGAGCAAATCTTCTAGAAAAACATCCAATCTTGATTTTAAAAATTGTCAGTGATGGTGAATCCATTGCAATTCTGGGTAAATTGGTCCAACGGTTAATTATCCTCACTGGTAAAAATTTGCATGTTCTTTCTAGTCTGAATTAGTCTGTTACTTGTTTACACGTTGCCTTCATTGTACTATGTGTTTGTTTGATTCTGAAGTGTAAGAAATGGATAACTGGGTTACTACTATGCAAATTTCAGAGGAACAGCCGTGTTAGTCTGTATTCGCAAAAAGAAAAGGAGTACTTGTGGCACCTTAAAGACTAACCAATTTATTTGAGCATGAGCTTTCGTGAGCTACAGCTCACTTAGCCTTTATCCACGTGTCTTTACCTCACTGTATATTCATGTGGGTATTCCTAGAATCACAGAATATCAGGGTTGGAAGGGACCTCAGGAGGTCATCTAGTCCAATCCCCTGCTCAAAGCAGGACCAATCCCCAATTAAATCATCCCAGCCAGGGCTTTGTCACGCCTGACCTTAAAAACTTCTAAGGAAGGAGATTCCACCACCTCCCTAGGTAACGCATTCCAGTGTTTCACCACCCTCCTAGTGAAAAAGTTTTTCCTAATATTCAACCTAAACCTCCCCCACTGCTACTGTATTGCCTTTTGTTACCTCCTTGAAACAAAATAAAATTAAATCCTGTTTGTAACTGCGCGGCATCCACCTCTCACCTCACCTTCTAGCCGGAAGGGTCTGCAGTCTTTCAGTTTGTGAGGAGCCCTGTCGGTGATTTCTCAGGCGCTTTTTCAGTGACTCAGCCCCCTGGCCGAGTCTCACACACCGTCCGGGGTATGCAGCCCACCAGAGGCCTACACCACTACCCCTCTGTTGGTATCGCTGTAGCCCTCCCTGGGATAGACTGAAAGGGTTAAACTTCAGCCATTCACTGACTTGCATGGTCATCTTTCCTGGCTGCTGGGTCTGAGGAGAGCAAGGTCTCACTGAGTATAAACTGGCTTGGGTTAGAGCCACTCTCAGAGCGGGTTAGAGCAGTTCCCAGAGCAAGCCACGATCATGAAAACTTGACATTGGTTAGACAGCTGAGATCCCAGCCAGTCATGCTGACCACGATTGTCCCATTGTTTCTTTGTACTCCCCCTGTCTCTGTCTGTCTGATAGATTCCAAGGTCAGAAGGAGCCCCTGTGACCACCCAGTCTGACCCCTGTATAACATCGGCCACACAGCATCCCTGAATTAATTCCTGTTGGAGCCAGAGCAGATCTGTTAGAAAAAAGCCACCTGATGTCGCTTGTCTTAGATTGTGGGGCAGGGACTGTCTTTTTGTTCTGTGTTTGTCCAGCGCCTAGCACAATGGGGTCCTGCTCCGGGCGGGGGGCTCCTAAGCACTGTGGTGATACAGATAGCTACTAATCATTATAATAATAAAATCTCCCAGCCCGCTGCCACTCCGGAAGCTCTGGCGCCACCCTGTGCCCGTTTCATGTCACTGGGTCTAAATTACAGCCTATTTCCTGAGAGAGACAAAGTGGGCGGGGTCTATGAGGGTACGTCGACACGGCAACGAGACACCTGCGGCTAGCCCGGGCCAGCCGACTCGGGCTCGCGGGGCTCTTCCATTGCTGTGCAGACGCCTGGGCTTGGGCTGGAGTCTGGGTTCTAGGACCCTCCGTGGTGGGAGGGTCCCAGATGTCTACACAGCAATGAAACAGGCCCCAGCCCGAATCGGCTGGTTTTTCTTTGCTGTGTAGACATACTCATAATGGACCCATTTTGGTTGGTGAAAGAGTCAAGTTCTCGGGGCCAGACCTGACCCAGACCTGAATAAGAGCTCTGTGGATCATGAAAGCTTGTCTCTCTCACCAGCAGAAGTTGGTCCAATAAAAATAAAAACTCCTCGACCTTGTCTCTCATGTCCTGGGACCAACACGGCTATAACCCTGCAAACAGCATATATCTGATCTCTTTCCCCTCCCTTTTATCCCAGGTTCCGCCCTGTGCCTACACGGTATGCAACGCACGGAGCTGAGGTCCTCTTAATATACACAATTATCATATAAACCACCACGTCCCTCGACTGCTCTGTGGTACTAAATCATTGGGCTGTCTCTCCAGGGCAAGTTTCTCCTCGAGTTTAGATCCAGACAAACCTGTTTCATCACTACTTTTTTTCTTTAACAAAAAAACGGCTTTTGGAGTCAAATGATATTTTTGCAAAAAAGGAGTTCAATTTCTTTTGAAAGTTCTCAGGCCCGCCCCTGGCCCTGCCCCCACTCCTCCCCTGCTTCCAACCTCCCTGCCCCTATGCCTCCAGCATCAAGGGAACAGTTCCAGACCGAACAGGAAGCAGATGAAAGTCTCCAGAGAGCTTGGATGGCGGCACGAAGCAACCCACCGCCTCTCAGCTCTTCTAATCAATCCAGGTTTGTTGTAGAAAGAGGACTTTTATACAAGGAAACTCTTTCTGGTGGACACCAGGAAGACTGGCATCCTCAGAGACAGTTGGTAGTTCCAACTAAGTACTAGGTCAAGCTCTTGAGCTTAGCCCATGATCATCCTAGTGGCTATGCTGGGGTGAACAGGACCAAAGACCGTTTGGGGAGGTCATTCCACTGGGAAGGAATGGGCAAGGGTGTTTCTACCTACGTCCAGTCTTGTGAGGTACACCAAAAAGTGGGAAAACCCCCAAGACCAGGTCAAAGCCCCTCTCCAGCCACTCCCCATCATTGAAGTTCCATTTCAGCAAGTAGCTGTGGATATTCTGGGTCTTTTTCCGAAAAAGACACCCAGAAGAAAGCAGTACACGCTGACTTTCATGGATTTTGCCACCCGATGGCCAGAAGCAGTAGCTCTAAGCAACACCAGGGCTAAAAGTGTGTGCCAGGCACTAGCAGACATTTTTGCCAGGGTAGGTTGGCCCTCTGACATCCTCACAGGTGCAAGAACTATGGAAAGCCTTTGGGAAGCTCATGGGGTAAATCACTTGGTTGCCACTCCTTACCACCATCAAACAAATGGCATGCTGGAGAAGTTTAATGGAACTGTGGGGGCCATGATACGTAAATTCGTAAATGAGCACTCCAATGATTGGGACCTAGTGTTGCAGCAGTTGCTCTTTGCCTACAGAGCTGTACCACGTCCCAGTTTAGGGTTTTCCCCATTTGAACTTGTATATGGCCACGAGGTTAAGGGGCCATTACAGTTGGTGAAGCAGCAATGGGAGGGATTTACACCTTTTCCAGGAACTAACATTCTGGACTTTGTAACCAACCTACAAAACACCCTCAAACCTCTCTAGCCCTTGCTAAAGAAAACCTACAGGATGCTCAAAAAGAGCAAAAAGCCTGGTATGATAAACATGCCAGAGAGCGTTCCTTCAAAGTAGGGGACCAGGTCATGGTCTTAAAGGCGCTCCAGGCCCATAAAATGGAAGCATCGTGGGAAGGGCCATTCACGCGCCTGGGAGCTGTTAATTATCTCATAGCATTCCCCACCTCCAACCGAAAGCCTAAGGTGTACCATATGAATTCTCTAAAGCCCTTTTTTTCCAGAGAATTAAAGGTTTGTCAGTTTACAGCCCAGGGAGGAGACGACGCTGAGTGGCCTGAAGGTGTCTACTACGAAGGGAAAAGTGCTGGTGGCATGGAAGAGGTGAACCTCTCCATGACCCTTCGGCGTATGCAGCGACAGCAGAGCCAGGAGCTGTGCACTAGCTACGTGCCGACGTTCTCAGCCACCCCAGGACTGACTGAACGGGCATACCACTCCATTGACACAGGTAATGCTCACCCAATTAAAGTCCAACCTTACCGGGTGTCTCCTCAAGCTAAAACTGCTATAGAACGGGAGATCCAGGATATGTTACAGATGGGGGTAATCTGCCCCTCTAGAAGTGCATGGGCATCTCCAGTGGTTCGAGTTCCCAAACCAGATGGGGAGATACGTTTCTGCGTGGACTACCGTAAGCTAAATGCTGTAACTCGCCCAGACAACTATCCCATGCCACGCACAGATGAACTATTGGAGAAACTGGGACGGGCCCAGTTCATCTCTACCCTGGACTTAACCAAGGGGTACTGGCAGGTACCGCTAGATGAATCCGCCAAGGAAAAGTCAGCCTTCACCACACATGTCAGGCTGTATGAATTTAATGTACTCCCTTTCGGGCTGCGGAATGCACCCGCCACCGTCCAAAGACTTGTAGATGGTCTCCTAGCAGGATTAGGAGAATATGCAGCCATAAGGAACGGGCCACCCACTGGCAAATGAAATAGTGTGACAAACACAGATAGGGTCCAGCGGAGGAACAATTGGGGATTACTCATCCATCTTTCTAGCTGCTAAAATAACTACAACAGCTCAGGAGAAGGAGCAGGGGTGAACTGCTGACCCCATTGAAATTTATGCGCATTTTCCCATTCAATTCAAGGAGGCCAGCATCTCACCCAGGGGTGTCAGTGGAGATCGCCCAGCGCAGCCCTCGGCTGAGCGTGCAGCAGCTGACAACAAAGCAAACAAGATGTTGGGGGTACATAAGGAATGCACTAGGTGACAATACAGAAAATTCTCTGATGTCATTATATGAATCAAAGGGACACCCTGATGAGGAACACTGTCTGCAGTACGGGTCACCCATCTCCAAAAGGACGCTGCAGAACTAGAGGAGGTTCAGAGACTGGTGACAAGAATGATGGGAGGCCACGTGGGACTTTCGTGTGCCGAGATTGGAGCTGTTCTTGTCAGAGAATAAGGGGACGTGAACAAGGGGAGAAAAACAAAGACTGGGCCGGGGAAGGTAGATTGGGGTGCTGCTATTCAGTCCATCTCTTGATACAAGAACAATGGGGACGCTTAGCAAAACTGAAAAATCAGAAAATTTGAAACTGATGAAAGGACCTATGTTTTCCCACAACGCACAATTAGCCTGCGGAACTCACTGCTGCAAGATGTCATTGAAGCCAAGAGCTTGGCAGGATTGTTTTTAAAAATGGACTGGGTCATTAGATACTGTTGTTCATACAAGAGACCGTCCTGCCCGGCCCTTCAGCTCCCAGCCAGGGAGTGCTATTCCTCCTTCCCCCCAGCCTCAGCTCGCCGTGCTGCCCGCGCTGTGGGCGGCGGGGCTGCGAGCTCCTGCTGGGCAGTGGGGCTGCGAGAGTTGCCGGCCTGCCCCGGTGCGCTAGACTGCGTTGCGGCACGGCTGGCTCCGTCCGGGCGGTGCGGCTGTCAGTTCTGGTGCTCTGAGCCGCATGCTAAGGGGGCGGGGGGTGGGGTTGGATAAGGGGCAGGGGCGTCCGGGAGCGGGGGGGGAAGTCAGGGAGCAGTTAGATGGGGTGGAGGTTCTGTGAGTGGGGGGCGGTCAGGGAATGGGGAACAGGGGCAGTTGGATAGGCGTGGGAGTCCCGGGGGGCCTGTCGGGGGTGGGGGTGTGGATAGGGGTCAGGGCAGCCAGGGGCCAGGGAGCAGGGGGGGGTTGGACAGGGGATGGGGTCCTGTGGGGGGCATTTAGGGGCAGAGGGTTCCGGGAGGGGGCAGTCAGGGGACAAGAAGCAGGGGAGTTTGGATGGGTGGAGGGTTCTCAGGCGGGCAGTCAGGGGGCGGGAAGTGGGAGGATGGGGATGGGGGCAGGGGCCAGGCTATTTGGGGAGGCACAGCCTTCCCTACCCGGCCCTCCATATAGATTTAGAACCCCGATGTGGGCCTCAGGCCAAAAAGCTTGCCCACCCCTGCACTATATACTCGTTTGATTCCGAGGAGTAAGAAGTAGGTAACTAGCTTATTAGTATGCAAATGTTAGTTACTGTTCATATCCTTTATCTATAGTCCTACTCGTGTCTTTGCCTCACTGTATATTCATTTGTATTTCCATTAGTTGCCTCTTTGAAATTAAATAAAATTTAATCCTGTTGTTCACAATGGACTGGGGAGTTGTGAATAAAGCAGATTTCACGGTCACACTGACTCCACTTTGACTGCCTCTGCACCTTTGTTATTATCAAAATTTACTGAACCATTTTTTGCCTTTGCTTAGACTTCACCAGAAAAAATTCACCTTTAGGCAAGAGCTCAGACGTGACCGTTTTCAGCTCAAAAGGCACAAGGAAGAGTTCGGCAGGTAGTGAGCTAGAGGAGTCAGGGATATGCTCATGAACTCCGTCAACAAAAGTGAACTCTGCCCATTCCGCATGCCAGAATGAGAAGCCACTCCCAGGAGCTGGTGCACATGTTCAAAAGGTGACCATGCATGATCCTTGGACACCCTGGGTTTAGATAAAATATATTTTTCTATAAACTTGTTTTAAGTGATTACAAGTAATGAGGCATAAAAGTCAGAATTGGTTACAAAGCAAATAAGATAAACCGCATGCTAATACTTAACTCAACAAGCTAAATTAACTTAAAAGCAAAGCATTTCTCTCACCATAAACTTACAGCTGTCTGG